GAGAGCGTCTTTCAGTGGTGGTCAGACCGAGCCGAGTTTTAGTAATCACCTAAAAGTTACGTTCAAGACCGTCGAATTCCCCCGGGCACTGAGTTCCATGCTCCCGTTTCCAGTTCATACATTCAAGCGGGTCACAGCATCTCCCCATTCATTAACTCTCCCTCTCTCTCCCTCCTCCTCTACGACTCACGAAACCAATGAATTAAAATGTTACATACATTGCAAGGAAAGAAATTCAGTTCGTGAATTCGTGACCAGATCATGTCAAATGTTAGCATTTGAACTGCGTTATCCTAAATGATCCCCTCTACTAATTTCGATCCCATGAACATGCAGTTTTTCACCATTCCGACATTTCTGGACCCACCAGTTAATTGTTTTGCCCCTAGTTCTGTACGAATTTCAATAATTTGCTCGTTAAACTTGTGGAAAGCTATATCTACTCGGGACAAGCAATACAGATGAATAATAAGTTGATCCTCGAGCTATGCAGTAAAAAAGAACAGGATAAATAGCCTCCGCCAAATTAAGAGACGTCTTTGTAACACTAATGCAATTTCATTATGCGTTTTTACTCACGCACAAATGCAAAAACACATATTTTGACAACCCCAGTGTGTGTGCATCCGCCCGGGTATTTCAACTCGGCACCCAAGCAAGCTCCGGTGCCAAAATTTTGCCAGTGGGTCCCCAGCCAAGTGCAACCCCAGGACTGCGGTACCAACCCTCATGTACGTCTAGGCCATGCGCACGAGCGCGTGAAAGTTTTGGTGGGAAAATCGCTAACTCGGGAACCAGAAAAGCCAGAAAGCTGAAACTTTGAGGTCATGTTCCCTATCCACGTAGGACTCAAAGATTTCAAATTCAGCCCGCAGGTGTGCGTGGTTCCTGCTTATGGCCTCATAAGGGTTCCTGGCGCGAAAATAGCTAACTTGAGAACCAGGAAAGCTAGGAGGCTGAAATCTTCTAGGGATGTTCCCGGCACGTGTACAACTTAAAGTTATCAAATTCAGCCCCTCTGTATGCGTGGTTATCAGGTAAGGCCTCGTGAAATTTTTAGTAGGAAAATGGCTAAGTCGGGGACTAAGAAGGCGGGAGGATGAAGTTTTCAAGGAGTGTTCCCAGCACACGTACAATATAAGTTTATCAAATTCAGCGCCCAGGCATGCGTAATTCTCACGTATGGCCCCTTAAAATTTTTTTTACGGGAAAATGGCTAACTCGGGAACAACAAAGCTAGGGGCTGAAATTTTAAGGCATGTTCCCACTCCCCCTCCCCCTGCCCCCGGTAAAAGCTGAAGATATCAAATTTAGCTTCCAGATACGTGTGGCTCTCATGTACGGACTCATGAAATTTTTTGGCAGGAAAATTGCTAACTCAAGAACCAGAGAAGTTGGGAAGCTGAAATTTTAACGGAATGTTCCTTATCAAATTTCGCATAGACATTTAACTTCCCGAACCTCGAGAACCAGTATATCACAGATCCTAGCTGCTATGTTTCCGGGCGATCTCATTACAGCACGAAATACTGCAAAAACGCATGATTGCACGGGCCCGCCCGGTGCGGATTGCCAATGATTTCCGAAAGCAACACTTTTTTCACTTCCACTGCTGTTGTACGAAATCAAAACATGGAATAACGTTTGCTGAAAAAAATTTAGCGGTGACTCTGTGAACCACCAAATTACTTATAGAAGGTGTAAGCAAACTGCAAAAGATTGCCAGTGAAATACTACAACCCCGAAATAGACGAACGATATTGTAAGCCATGGCGAAATAAGTGAGGACAAGCCGGGCGTGTGGCAAAAAGGAGAGGCAACAGATGGACGAAGCGGATGATTGAATGGCGCTGACATATTGCTAAAAGAACAGGACAAATCACTAGGGCATGGGGGAGATCCGATTGAAAGCCTGTATGGGATTAAATGCCCAAAAAACAGAGAAAATGAAAAAGGTGACAATTGCTAAGTGGTGAAAATAAATGCAGCAATGAGACGACAGCTGAACAAGATCTCGAAGTAAGGACGGAACCACCGAGGCCGCAGGTGGTTTTACCGCGCTAAATTTTGATTCGAAAATATATGCATAATAAAGCAGTGAAATTGCAAGCGGCTTCACTATTGTTGCCGTGTGAATACTGGGCGGCGGTGGCATCAGCAAAAGTTCACGAATGATTATTTATAGCGATGACTACTACGATGGTTATTACTTCAACCACTATGCGGCATATAGTGGTTCAGCACTGCTCCTCATCATGCTATTGCTGGTGTGTTGTTGCTGTATAATTAGCGCTTCTGAAATTCCACCCTATGGGTATTACTATGAATGTATGTTCTGCGGGCCATGCCTTCACTGTCATAGTTTTGGCCATCGTCATCATCACCACCACCACGGACATCCAGCCTTCTGGATATGAAGTGAGCTTGAATTAATATTTCTGCAATATTTTTGACCACCAACTGTAATAAAGTTCTTTTTTTTTATGCGCAAAACTGGTAACTGCTTAGCAAGTAAACAGCGTTTGGGGCACTGTGCAAAAGAAAGTGACCATTCGGTCTGGTTCCGAGAAAATAGCAACTTATACAGCACGGCAAATGGGAACTGGGAAAAAGCAGCGAGGACAATCAATGCGGAAAAGCGCTTTGCGTACATTTCAGAAACACCGACAGTGCCACAGCGGCATGGGCGGTGCAGTCTTGGAGGATTTTACGGGTATAATAGGTCTAAAGTATTCAGTGATTATATGTGCACTTTACTGTGCTTAAGTCAAGATGCCGGTTTAGCTCAGTGCTGTAGAAATTTATGACTGATGACAATTAAAGTCGCTCGTCCAAATCCACGAATAGAAAGTCAGCTCCCGTCGATTCATTGTTTCGATGTTAATTTAGTACTGGCTTGCGCAGTATTTCTCAACAATGGAGTCGATGGAGTGCATAGGCAAAAGAGCTAGCGCAAACTGTCACTTGGCAGCACCTCGATCTTACCACTCGACACCAAAAATTACCATTTTCTATTGAAAACTAATGAATGAACGGACTGAAAAAAATTTTTTGTTTCTCAGAAAAATTTCTAAGCAAATGGAGAGAAATATTTGTTCTTATAGGTTATCGCACTCTAGACAATGTTGACAAAGGAAATAAAGCCAGAAATTCGCTTTTTATCTAACAGGAAGGATGTGATCACTGATTCGGTACGGTGACGTATTCAGGACAAAAGTGGGCAATATCTCCTTCGTCTGTGCACTCAGATAGCGTGAAATTATTGGAATAGAACAAAAACGATGGAGTGAGTTGAAAATAGTTACTTTGATCAGCAGAGCGGAGCAGCGAATTTCTGCCCAAAGATCGCAGAACGTGCAAAAATTAGCAAGAATAACATAAACTGCGCTATGAAAAAAAAGCGGAGAAAGCAAAAAATTTTCAACTTCTTTGATTGGAAAATGGATATTGAAAAAATATGGAAGCAAAACAGCCTTTTTTTTCCGTGCGGTAGGTCCACAGCATCCTGAATATGCCACCGTTCCGATACCATACAAACTGTGATGTTGCTCATTTGTTCGTTTATATTCCTTTGCAAACATGAATATTTTTCAAGACAGAGTTTGCAGAGTTTGACCGTCCATAACACGAACACTGCGTCAGCCCGGG